AACCGCAGGTGCGGCTCAGGTCGAGACAGGAATTCTTTACTTGCAGAGTGGTGAACGCGTGGAATGCGTTAGATGACGAAGTAGTGGCTGCCCCTTCTGTGACTATCTTTAAGAAGAAACTAGATGCTTTCATGGACAGGCAAAAAGGTGGGGGGCAATGTTGACCGTAGGTACTAGACAGTAAGCAACTAGGATAGTCAAAAAACAAAAAAAAAAGAAACAAAACAAAAATATATAGCTTTAAAAGGGTTAGACCTACCCTAAAATTAAGGAACGCTCGACCTCGACACGTGATATCGAAATGGGCGAAATCGCCTCTTGATATCACTAACTCTCTTGACTTGACTCTTGACCCCTTGTAGTTTTTTCAGGTGTGAGATTGAAGAATAGACTTGTGTCATCTGCGTTGAATATATCCTCTGGGCGATGGCTGCGTATAATGCTTTCAAGAGTCTCATTCTTCCACTTGCTGACAATTTCATCAGGCACGCTTCCGGCTTCCCCACAAACACGATTCCATGTCTGTCCTTGAAGCGAGAGAGCCAACCAGAAGAGCACTCAAAGTTGCCGATCCCCAATACCTTCGCCAGTTATGCGGCTTTCTGCCGAATTGTGTTCCCATCAAAGGCGATGCTGCAGGCATGTGCTTGCTGGAACCACTCAAATAAAGGTTCTTCAATGTCACCATATTTCGCACCTCTCAACTTCATTCTTCCTGGAGCAAAGCTTGCATTAAAGAATTCCTTGCGAATTTTTTCTTTAGCGCTGACGATGGAAGAAAGCGTCGATGGTGGGATGTCGTAATTTGCGGAAATCTCGCCTTTCTTCAGTTTCCCTTCCTCGACTTCTCACAGAATGTTTATTTTCAGCTCAATAGACATGCAATTCTTCTTGGTCAGATGTGCCATTTCACTGCCGCTGATATAGTGAACACGTGAACTCAGACTACAAATCCGTGAAAACTCGGACGAACGATGCTGAATGACCCAGAAAGTCCTCAGCACAATTTATAGTTTAGAAGGCCAGGGATGCTGTTGGAGGTGTCTTTTTAATGCGATAGGCTAATCCCTGTGGAACAGATGGATGTGATAGCCGAAATTTCGATATAACCGATTTCGTTACATCCAAATCTTGATAATCGTGTCAGGTGTGATCTACGCTGAACCCCGTGATCTACGAGCAAGTAAGCGTGAATGCCGTCGTCGAAAGGTAGTCGGGAATATTTCATAATTGATTTTAAACACAAAACAGATATAAAATCAATAAATGAAGTACAGACACCTAAAAATAGCCGGCCCAATATAGAACCCTTGTCAAAAAGTGTAGTCTTGAGTCATATCAAGCTAGAAGCCCTCGTCACCAAATGCAACATCCTCGATCCACAAAAGTGGTCTTCAAGTCATGGACGAAGTCTTCGAAAATCGCCGAACGGGGGTTCAAACCCCGCCACCACACCTCTATTAGGTACCGAGAGAGAAGCCGCCGAGAGGTACCTCGCATGTTACGCAGGACCTTAAGCTTCAACTCGGACCACACCTTCTTTATGAGCTTCTTCGATTGAGTAAATTGGCTACACCGATTCCGCTAAACTTCGCTATACGCTTCGTTCGCAAACGAGGCAAGTTTGTCCAGCCACACCACACACACAGCTCTATACGTATGCTCGAAGTGAACGGGCCTCAAATGACACTGAAAAGGTGAAAGGTAAAGCAAAGGGGGTAATAGTATACATAGTACGTGTCCACTTATGGATTATTGTCAACTTTGGCATGACCATCTCTGAGGCGCTCACGTAGGGAAATGGTGGACTCAGGGCGTTGCCAGGGGCTTGGCACCTGACGATGCCCCCCCTCCAGGGGTAATTCAGCAGTCTTAATATTGAGCTTTCCCTTCCTAAAGTCCTGCGTACGCCCCTGAGAGATGGTCATGCCAAAGTTGACAGTAATTCTCGAATGGACACGTACTATACCACAGTATTACCGGCAAAGGATGGACAAATGACGAATCGGGGGGCGAGATCACACCCGACACGCAGTAAGCTGTAGATCACGACTACGACTATGGTGTGATCTACGCGCAGTCGAATGTCTATGGACATTCGACCGGGCAAAGGCTAGGATTTCGTTATAACCGGGTTTTCGCTATATCCGTGTTCGTTATAACGGGAGTCGACTGTACATGCATAACTGTGACCTCCCTCAACAGCTCAAATGTTGCTGTTTGTTGGTGCATTACTAGTCAGTTTAGCAGAACTTGAAACTGAAGACTCATCCTTGAGAAATTGCTCAAGGAGGTCACTCTTCATCAAGTTCACTGTTAAAGGAGTCTAAATCAAACCAAAATTGGAAAAAAAAAATTATCAGCATTGAATGGCTCAAAGACTTGGATTATGAACCGAAAAAATTGTCAACATCTCCTGAGGAGCTTCATTAAGGGATAATTTCCCTTGAAGCAACAGAAAATGATCAACAATGACTTGAAACTCATCTTACCACTCTCAGCAACAGGGAGCACCAATGGGTACAGTGTCAATTACTGCTTTGAGCCTCCATAGCCATTCTTATCCAAGTAGCCAGAACAGATTAAAATTCAGCATGTGATCTCTATAAAGTCAACAAGTTAACAGACAGAAGTTCTAAATTCATTCAATCATATTATCCAAGAGAATGATACAAGTTTTGATGCGTCCTATTGACTTAACAAAACCATGTGGCTCCCATGGAGCAACTTCAAATTTTGACCTGATGCACTGGGGGGTTTATCAACAATATTGTATGAACATATTTGTTGTTAATCATGTTTCTTTGATAGGTAGAGTGTAGAATTATTCCTAGGGTTACACAGCCACAGGCCTCAAGTGTTCAAATTCATCAACCACTCAGAAACACCCTGGCAGGGTAGACCTACATGACTTACTGAGTTGTAACCTGGGTCATGACTTGAGGTTCATGATTCTCAGCGGGTGTGGTGCTTTTCAAAAACCATTATACCCAGGGTTGATGACATTGACAAGATGTGTCACCATGGAGTAAAATTTATTTTGAAGTCTCAATGCAAGCATTGAGAGTTCAAAACCCACCCACCCTCAAGTCGTGCATCAGGTCACAACTGAATGCGCCCACTATTTCTTATGGATCCAATGATCCCTTTTGGATTATATCACAAAAGCTCCTCTATTTGTATACTTAAGAAGGAAGGGATAATAGACAAGATGGGGTTTATTATAATGAACTTATGCAATGGAGGAGCTCACAGGTGCATATAACTGCATGCATTAGGAAATAAACCTGAATGGAATTTTCACCAAAAGCACAATCAAGTCAACTTGGGTCCAATGGCACTCTTTTTCATTGTAACTGCACCATGATATAAATAAGATATTGAAATCGCAAACTGCCTGATTGACATGAAAAAGCCTTGACAACAGGAAAAGAATGTTGCATTCTTAAGCAGCAGAACAGCCTAGCATCTACTGAAAAAGGATCTGAGTGCACAAAAACGTGCCCCAACAGAGGAAAACCCCTGACTGAACAATCATTCCATCCATCTTTCTACACGATGGTGATGGGCGGAATGCCAACAACAAAATGGCAATTGAGATCAATCGACCAATCAATCAACCAGTGAGGAACAACAGGTACAAGATAAGTGGAGTCTCTTAAAAAAAAAGAACAATCAGCAGCACCAATGTATCTCAATGTATGATGGTCGAAAACCAAGAAAAAATTTTAAAAATTGAAAACACGGCAATGAACTGCTCAAAAGGCTATATAATGTACATTGCTATGTGTATGCACAATGTTGTGTCAATACTTACTCTTTTTATGTACAGGCATGGCTCAGAAGTCTGGAGCGTTTCTCTTCTGCACAGATAGAGTGAGAGGCAGAGATACAGACAGAGAGACGTAGACAGATAGAGATTGAGATAGAGATGAAAGATAGAGGATAAGGAAGTGATTATATTGCCAAGTGTTGTACAGAGAGTTTGATGATTGAGGCAGAGTACCAAGAAGATATACCATAGACTGAGATGATTAAATTTTTTTAAAACCAGTTAGTGGGATTGGTGCCAAGTTTGGTTGAAAGACCTCCCAGTCGTTTTCCAACCATATTTCCCAGTCGTCCGGCCACATTGGAAGCGACATTAGACGTCACATTGGAGATCTTGGCCACATAGTTTCCTTGTGGGTCGCTGAATGCCTCTTTAATGGAAGCTGTGGCAGTTGGCTTTCGCTTAGGGGTCTCATCCTCTCCTCCTCCTTCGGCCAAGCTGGATCAATCAAATGTATATTGCATCAATTGATGAGGACAATTCTGCTGGAGGTCAACTTTTGAAGAAGGGAACTCACTCAGGGTCATCATCCCGACGTGAGCCTTCCATGAGGGCACAAGCTGCCTCCTCTGTGTGCATCCGCTGGGCAATCGCTTGGTATGTCTGGGAATTCAACTTGTCTTCCATGAGGCCTTGCAGCTCAAAATCTGAATACAGCTTCTACACTCAGAGATCATGGCAGTGACAATTATAAATAAGAGGACTTTCAAAATGAATCTCTGACGACAATGATTTAGGTAAGACCAGTGTGAAGGAAAATAATGGCACCCAAACTTCAGATAATCAAACAATATTTATTACACAAACAAAAGATGTGCAGATTCAGGAGATAAAATAAGGATAGGGAAAAACTTCAAACACACCAGAAAAGATACTCAAGGGCTACTTTGCATATTGCAAAATTCTTTCACAACTCTCTCATGAACAAAAGCAAAGCTGGTAGAATCAAGGGTTTCTGGACGAATAGAAGCAAAATGGAAGTCATCGTGCAGGTCCTGTTCATTCAAAATGATATAAGGAAATAAGGATATAAGCATAAGATAAAGTGAACTCAAGGGACTGAGGGATACACAGGAGAAACAAGAAAGACTCACCTTGACGATATGGGCAAGACAGGTGCATTGATATGGATGCAAGGCAGTGCCGAGTCTCTCAGACAGCCATGCGCTCAGCAGCTCAACTTGACCAGTGTACCATTGCTGATAAAAAGAGACAATGAATTTTGTGAAAATGCACCAAAACACCCAGAAGGAACATTCCTGAAAATACTCACTTCAAAGAAATTCAGAATCCAGAGTTCATCTGTAATTTTTGTCCTGATCTGATCCACAGTGGTTCGAGCGAAGTTTATGTATGCCTGACCCAACTCCCTTCCAGATCCAGACACATTCTGCCGATACTATAACATCACGTATCAATATTTCAGATCCTGAATGCAGAAAACATAAGACAGATGGGGAAAATGCTCACAGTAAAGCTCAAGATGGATCCAATGAGAGAGCCACCATCATAGCGTCCTAGTTTGGCAAGTGTATTCTCAAGGATAGACACCAACTTGGCCACCACTTGCTGGGTCATCATGCTCATCACCTGCTCAATCACCTCATCCACCTTCATGTGATAATTGTACTACAAGAGACAATAAAATTTAATTTAGCAAATTTAGCAAGGACTTCAAAAATAGGTACAGCCAACAGTGAAAAAACAACAATCATCCAAAACATATCATCAACCTATTTCCTATTTTAAAGATTCAATAACTAAGAAGCAACTTTTAAGAAGGAAAAAACTTGCATCTGCTGATCTCAATGTGTCTCCATGTTCTACTTCTGTCATCTCACTCTTAGCAGTAAAGTCCTTAACCCAATCAGGGCCCAAGTTGAGTTTACTCATCCTGCAGAGCTGTTTAGTTTAGTACTTAAGTAACTGAGTTTTACTTGATTTTGAAGGAGTGGTTACTATATGCTCTTGTTCTTGCAAACTACCCAGTTTATTCTTGCAACTGCACACAACCCATTACCAACACATCTAACACCAAGCAAATAACTTAGCCCTTGACTGGAAGGGAATGCTTAATTCTCAACAATGAATGAGTTAACCTTTTATGCTCACAACAAATCTATTGGTTGTCACAATGGCAGCTAAACCAGAATGCATAACTGTGACATCTTGCAAATGGGTCTTCACTTTAAAAAAATGTTGGGTGTTGCAAGTTTGAGACACTTGAGACAGAGGAAATGGGAATACATAAGTCACTCCAGCATAATTTAGGAAATCTGGATATTTCTCCAATAATAAGGATGACTCCCATATTAGGATCTCATAGGGTATTAATAAGAAATGATGTCCTAATGTCTTAATAAGTGTTAATATGATTATTCCTCATTGTAAAATAAAATAAAAGTTTCACTGCAATGAAAAGCATGAGGGCTTAATGTACACAAGATGGACTAGGAGGATGATATTTTTGTGGGAATGCAAGACTCACTCCCTCCAAAGCACAGAGTTTGAAGGACTGGTTCTTGGCATCCAGGACAACATTAATCATTACGCAGATTTCTGTCGGAAGAATGTAATCGGTGGAGGAAAATGTGACCCCCTTCTTGAGCCACAGCTGAAATGCATTCTCCGTTCTACGGGATGAGATAAAAGAAAAGTCAAGTCAGAGACCAAGGGTCTAGATTTGAAAAACTGAATGAAATATGAATGGAGAGGAGACCTCTGAATGCAGGATTCAATCATATCAGCCGCCAGAGCCTTTAGTCTCTGGTCAAGGTGACGAGCAAAGTCTTCATCAGGCCAATGGAGATCCTTGATGAATGACTGCAAGGCATCAAGTTTCCATAGAAGATCTTCTGATGTTGCACAGCCATTCCTTGATAATTGTATGTAATTTAAAAAATGAGCCATCATTTTCAAACTTTCCAACTTAGAAACAAAGGAAAACATACCCTTTGGGCTCCCAGCGTTCTTTCTCAAATCCTTTGTGGAGGGACTGGGCTATGGATGACTCCATCAAGTCCACATATCGCACCACTTGTGGGGCAAATGTCTCTCGCAGGTGTGAGTGGAACTTCCCCTTTCTCAGATTCTCTGCAATGGCATTGGTGAAAAAGTGCAAAAGCATTCACAGAAAGGATGGTATGAACAAAAACAAAGAGAGGAATGAGACCATCGCTGCGTAGGTAGTCATTGAGGATCTGGAAGAGTGGGAAAGAATCCCATGTGTCAGGAAGTTGTTCAGCAAGGACCTGGTCCATATCCACAGCAAAAAGGGACCAGAATATCTCGGAATGCTCCACCAAGAGCTCACTGAACCATGCAAAGGCCTAAAAGATGCCATAAGTCCAGCATTTAGTCTTTAGAACTCTCACTTGGCAGGAAACTTCAATGGACTGCTTATGTAGATTTTTTATTTTTCTTCTATCAATACTTTTTTATTTTCTCATCTAAGGATGCAGAAAGATGAACATCAGACCCATGCTCAAAATTAAGAAAATGATAGGCATTCAGAGTCATGTATTGATGTAATGCATTGGCAGAGCAAAAAGAACTAATTTCAGGTACTGTGGTTTATCAGTGGACATGCTGAATGAGTGGAAACTATTGCTTCCATGAAAACTTTGCTCTTATATGATAATAAAATAACAAGAATGTGCAGAAAAGGTCATTTCCAAGGGTCTGTTGGTTATCCAGTGCAGCAGAAACCAATAATAGATCAAAGAGCAAGAGGAATCTTGTGAGCATTAGTCATGCACTTTCAAGGCCTATCCTCAATAAATATGTATACAGAAAACTACATACCAGTCATCACTATTCCTTCCATCTTGAATCAAGCCAAATACACATAATATAAATGCATATGACTCTAATATCAGCAATGGAGATATTTAATGGCACCTAACTACTGGTTCTATACCTTGTTCACTACAATAGGCTTATCTAGGGTAAAAAAATAAAAAAAAGCAATGATACAATGCAATTTCTACAGAATACATAAAAGAGGATTTTACTTTAACATAAAAATATTTTTTATATCCATGCCTATATCTAGTGATAAGTGAATCAGAAAAAGATTTTGAGTCAAATCCAATTTGAATCCCATTTCATCAGAATTCATGGAGTATGATTCAGATCACTACAGAGTTTATACAGGGTGTTCCATGAAAGTCCAACACATTCAATTTTGCAATAACTTTGGAATGGCAATAAACCAAAGATGCAAACCACAGCATGCTCTGTGCCTTCTCTTGTGGATTTGCTATTTCACTCCCAACAAGCTGAAAAATAATTGTCAAAATTGCTATAAAATTGTAGGCATGAAACTTGAAATATCAAGCTTTCGTTTACGGCAAACTGTAGGTAAGTACGTTCATTTGTTCATGATTTATTCAAGATTGAAGTTGTCTGAATTTTTTATGGACACACTGCATATCTGGCAGAGGGGGCCTGACAATCGGACTGGTACTGTGTGCCAGCAATCGCTGATTGGCTAAACGGGAAGGAAATCCACACGCATCGCAAAACGGGTGAGGTGGGAAGTCTGCTGCGAGGAGAAAACACCCAACGAACTGGTTAGGATGATCGGGGGAAATAATTCTCAACTAGATATGTGATACAGAGACCGAATGAGATCTATTTCGATCTGGAGTTTCGGCTGCAGCAGTGAAAGAATGTGATGAAAACTAATTGGAATGGCATGCGGTAACACCAAACAGACTCTCTGGTGGACACCAGAGGTACTGCTGCCAGTCATGCCAAGAAGGCAGCCTATAGTGAAGCAGTTCTCAAACCGAGAGGCGCAACAGGTCATGGAGTATAGGCCTGAATGCACAAACCTTATTTAGACGAGATAAAGGGACTTGTAAGCTAAGGTGCTCATTCCTTCCCCCCCCCCCCCCCCCCCCCCCCCCCCACCCCCCCAC